AGGGGCATTATGAGTTTCTGATTATGCCATTTGGGCTTACCAACGCCCCTACTACTTTACAGTCATTGATGAACAGGATATTCAGACAGTATCTCTGGAAGTTTGTGCTGGTGTTTTTTGATGAAATCTTGGTGTACAACAGAACTGAGGAGCATCCGAAGCACATGAAGTTGGTATTGGGAATTCTACAGGAGCATCAACTGAAGGCCAATCTGAAGAGTGTTGCTTTATCCAGACCAGGGTGGAGTACTTGGGTCATATAGTGTCCAAGAAAGGAGTGGCGGCCGATCAGTCAAAGGTGGAGGCTATGTTGAGATGGCCCGTACCTAAGAATCTAAAGGAGTTGAGAGGATTCTTAGGGCTGACGGGATACTAAAGGAGATTCGTCAAATGGTACAGTACTATAGCATGGCCACGGACAGAGCAGCTAAAGAAAGATGGATTCCTATGGGGAGAGGCAGCCACAGCAGCTTTTGAGAAACTAAAGAAGGCTATGACCACGGTACCCGTCTTAGCTCTACCAGACTTCACTCAGGCCTTCATAGTGGAGACAGATGCTTCAGGATATGGATTGGGGGCAGTACTCATGCAGGATCGAATACCCATTGCTTACTTCAACCAGGTGTTGGCGGCCAGAGCCAAGCTAAAATCAGTCTACTAGTGGGAGTTGATGGCTATCATTTTAGTCATCTAGAAGTCGAAACCTTACCTGTTTGGTAGGCATTCCATTGTCAGAACAGATCAGATGAGCCTGAAATACTTGTTGGAACAGCGAATGGCGACTGAAGAGCATCAGAGCTGGTTGTCAAAATTGTTGGGGTATGATTTTGAAATCCAGTACAGACCAAGAGGAGAGAACAAGGTGGCAGATGCCTTGTCCAGATGCATGGGAGCATGGTTTAAAATTGCGCAATATGAGGCTCGCCTTGAGGCCCGCCTTTGCGCAATTCCAGTAAAAAACGCCTCGATGCTTACGCCTCGAGTTTTTGTTATGAGGCTTGCGCCTCAACTTGGTTGAGGCCCGCCTTAAGGCTCGCCTCGCCTCACTGGCATGAGGCTTACGCCTCACACTATATATATATTAAAACTTACATAAATCTTGAAGTAAATGCCCGACATTGGACTCTATAATAGAGCAGGAAGGGGAGAGAGCAGTTCATCATAATGATGATTCAAATGAAGAACCCCTTAGTGATGACAGTGCTGATGATTTATGAGTTCTTATGTGATATGTCATTGCTATTTATTTTTAGAAATTGGAATTATATGTTAATGAAAAGAATACTGGGATTTGGGAAAGATAGAATTTTGAGTTGAACTATATTTCATGTTGTCTTATTATTGAGATATTTTGATTTCACTTCATATCTTATGTTTTTTTATGTTTTATATTATTCACTCATTAGTATATAAAAAACTTATCATTTTATGTTTACGCAATCTTTTGATTTTGAGGCTTACGCCTCAAAACGCCTTGAGGCTTACGCCTCGCCTCACGAATGAAAAACGCCTCAATACCCGAATACGCAATTTTAATCAAGGCATGGGAGAGCTACAAACAGTGGCAACGTCGGTTCCTTTGATGCTGGATTAGGAGGCCATTAAGGAGGAGAGCTCTAGGGATGAGGAGCTGGGGAGACGGATTTATCGAGGGAAGGTGGTAGCCACCCAGGGTACTCAGTAGAGGGGGGCAGACTACTGTATCAGAGGAGGTTCGTTATGCCCAGGACCTCAATCCACATACCAAACTTACTTTAGGAATTTCATGAAAGCATAGTTGAGGGCCATTTAGGGGTGCAGAAAACCTGAAGGAGATTAGTTGTCGAGCTTTATTAGAATGGAATGCATAGAGATGTAGAGGAGATGGTAGCAAGGTGTGAGATCTGTCAGAGGAACAAATACATGGCTATGTCACCAGGGGGGCTATTACAACCGTTGGCATTAGCAGGACAGGTATGGGAGGAGATATCCATGAACTTTATAGATGGGTCGCCCCATTCAGAAGGCTTTACGGTGATTCTAGTGGTGGTGGATAGATTGAGCAAGTATGCTCATTTTATTCCCCTTCGACATCCTTACACCGCGGTTACAATGGCTTCAGCCTTCATAAGAGAGGTGGTCAGATTGCATGGGGTACCAGAGGCAATCGCGTCATATAGAGATAAAGTGTTTCTCAATCATTTTTGGATGGAGTTGTTCAGGTTATAGGGGACAGTTCTAAAGAAGAGCATCGCTTACCACCCACAGACAGATGGCCAAACGGAGGTGGTCAATAGAAGCTTGGAGACCTACTTGAGATGCTTTGAGTCGGAGACACCCAAGCTGTGGGCCAAGTGGCTATCATGGGCGGAATACTGGTACAACACCTCGTTTTACTCAGCTTCACAGATGACTCCATTCAAGGTGTTGTTCGAAAGAGACCCTCCTCACTTGGTGCACTTTGGAGTAGCAGTACTCCAGTTTCTTCAATGGAGGAGTACTTGGAGGAGAGAGATCAAGTGCTAGAGGATTGAAGAAACATCTACTGAGAGCTCAACAGATTATGAAGAAACAAGTTGATGGGCATAGGAAAGACATCTAATTCGAAGTAGGAGAGATGGTGTTCTTGGAGGTCCGACCATACCGACAGAAGATAGTTGCCAACAAGAGAAATGAAAAGCTCGCTACAAGATACTTTGGACCTTATATAATATTGGGAAAAATTGGAGCGATAGCATATCGGTTGAAAATAGCACTTATGTGTCGTAGCTGAGAAGAGCCATTGAAAATTATACTGCCAGCTCGAAGTTACCGGCAACACTTACTGAAGATTTAGAGGTGATTCTGGAAATCTTAGAGTTGTTGGGGGTTCGCCAGAAAGAAGATAAAGCTAAAGAAGTGCTAATCAAGTGGAAGAATCTACCTGAATAAGATGCCACATGGAAGCCATGCGAGAGGGTGAAAAAGCAGTTTCCTAGTTTTCAGCTTGAGGACAAGGTAATGCTTTGAGAGGGAGGTATTGATAGGCTGATTCACCCTGAACCGGCCCAAAAGCCCACCCAGCGACCAGCTCAATTCTACAAGAGGAAACGGGTCCGCCTCTTTGATATACCGCCCACATGTGTGCGCCCCACTTGGAGCAATTGAGGAAGGGGGGATTTGGGCGGCTAGGGTGAGAGGAAAATTTTGAATGAGGGAGGTTTGAATTAAGAAATTAATTGTATTAATAGGAGGATTTGTTTTAGGGTTAGGGGATGCATGATTTGAGTTTTCTCTGGGAGTTCTTGGTTTTTTTTGCTCTAGATTGTTTTACCTAGAGATTTGGGAGAGAACGATCCTCTCGAATTGAGGATCATTTGTATCTTGTTCTCGTGTTTGTTTGGCTTTGTTTCTCTTATTGCAATCCATAGTTTTGGGGCTGATTTCACCCGGATTTTGCATTATTCTCGTTGTTTTCACCAATTAGTGATAGGTTTGCTTGCAAACTCAAGTATTTCCCTTAGGGTTACTTGCGAACTCAAGCATTTCCTATCAAAAGGTTACTTTGTGGATTGTTCATCAAGTTATACTACCACATGCTTTATGGTGGAATTTATTTCTTTGCTTCAGTATGGGTGAGATGATTATCCACCTATGATGCCTCATGTTATGTCCTAAATTAGTTTAGGCTTTACATGTAGCTATTTTCCTGGGTGTTTTCTTTAGCATGTGGTTGATACATTTTATCTGCCTTTGCGCATTTGTTGCTTCACCCATTCATTTTTCGTGATGTTAATTTTTCTCTGATGGATGAAGTTGCTCGCTCTTATTGTTCATTATTTTTTGGCATTGATCCCACTATTGTTTTGGGTCGAATTGGTTAGTATATATCCATGTGGTTTTACCTTATAAGACCTCTAGCTTGTTGCTTCCCTATGCTAGTAATGTGGTGGTTACATTGACTGTGCTAGCACATACATTCTGATCATACTAATTCTAGTTGTGTTACTATTTAACAATGTTGATTGTCATTACTTTGTATGAGCAAGTTTTGGCCATGCAGCTTCATTTTGCCTATGTGCTTGTTAAGTTGCAATGTGTAGTGGCAGCATACTATTAGAGCTTCTCTATTTGCAAAATATAATGCTACTCATTTGGTATTGTGTACCTACACTAAATTTTAGGTTCATTTGTGATTTCACATGTGTGTTGGGTTCATGGTGGCAATGTTGACTTATGGCTTGCTCCCTTTTGGATATTGTTTTTGCGGACTAAGAGAGTTTATAATTTATGGTTTATCCTATTATGGTGCATGGCAAGATGATATTACATTTTGATCGACCCTCTACTAACCTCACTTGTCCTTAATAGGATTCCTTTTGGTTGAGGATGGTGAGAAGAATGGCTCAAGGTTGGTTTTCGGGTATTTTGATTATTATGTTGGTTTAAGCCTATTGGCCTGTTACTTTAGATCATACCCCGACCACTTGGTTAAGTGGAATTTTTGTTTCTTAGGTAATCGTAATTTTCTGTGGCAAATGATCTTCATTTATTTCTTCTATCCTTTCATTAGCCTTTTTTCAAAGTTGGAAAGTGCTCGTGATTTCATGACATTTAGGCGGGAACTTTGAACATCTCTGTCTAACTGGTTAATTAGAGAAGTTTCTGTCTCTTTGTTGTTATGTTGAATTGGATAATACTAGTCTTGAGGTGAAGTTCTCTGATTTGGGACTTTGACCATCCTTATGTTTCCATGATTAAGGTGCTAATGAAGAGTGATGAGCATGATATGTTATTTTTTCCCCGGAAAATTTGAGGGAATCATCCAAACTATATTAAGAAAAAATGAAAGCACAAATCTGTAAAAGAAAAATCCATGGCTTCGTGCCCTCAAAGCCAGTCTGCAATAAAAGCGATCTCAAAGCTCTCCATAAAGGCAGTATCAACAAAATCGCCTTAGATACTAAACAATGCAAGCTAACACAAACCCAAGAAAGCGAAAAGTAGAGCACCAGCAAATGAGGTATTAAATCGTATCTAACCTGCGCAGCGTAACACATTTCCTTAGCGAGAAGGCAATCAAAAAACCCGTAAGAAGCAGAACTCGAACACATAATCGAGAGTCTGCAATGAACTAAAATGGAAAACGAGTCTCCGCTCTCCGGCGAAGTTGAAGCTCGGATCTTTGGAACTAAAACCCTAGTTGTTTTATAAGAGTAAATATTACTAGTAGGAAGGCAGATCAAAATAATCAGGAAAACAGAGAAATTTCAATATATTATTTTATTTTAGATTTGAAAGCTTCTTTGGAATCAAGATATCTCGGCTGCAAATCATAACTATTTTTTTTAAACCATTGAATCATAATTTCTCGAATAATATTCAATTATATTTGACCAAGACAAAGGATTTATTTGAAATAATTTTTATTTATTTTTTCTAATAATAATCATAATTTCTATTTAATTAATATTTATTATTTTTCTAATAATTTGTTATTTGCTTGGTATTTCTCATTTTTTAGCGCGATTTTAGCTCTGGGAGGACGCATATCTACGTTAGGTGGGAGGACCCAATAATTATTCACAACAATTAAAATAAACCTATTCCAAATTATATTAGTATAATACTTAGTTTATATATAATTAATAATATAATAAATTTAATTTCTAAAACAAATAAATCCCTCCGCTTCTTCGGCCTCCTCTTTGCATGGTAATTTATTTCATTTTGCTGATAACGTGGGCCTCTCTCTCACTCTTCTTTATCTCTCTCTCCCCTTGTCTGTCTTCTTTATTTTTCTATTTCATTTTCTTTGATTTTTTATATTTCTTTACGGCCAAATTTTCGGAACGATTGTATTTGTTCCCAATTTAAGCAAATGGAGCGTGATTAGAAATAAATTTTAAAACAAGCAAATACGCCAAACTCATCCGCGCATCTAGTGAATGCGCGGTATTGATTGGTGCATTAAGAATGCGCCGAAACAAATGATGCATTCTTTCAATGCGCCTAATGTTCTGGCGCATTCAAGGTGTACGAGAAAAATGGCGGATGCAGGGTCGGCGGTGATCTCAACGGTGAAACCTGGTGCTAGAAAAGAGGAAGGCCAAGATGAAGCGCTGGAGAAACAGAGTAAGGGACTTAAAACACGGAGAAGCTTTTGTTTCTGAATAAAAAACAATTATAGGGATAAATGTAAATCTTTGATGCCATGGTTAGACAGGTGGAGAAGAGGTTGACGAGTCGCCGGAGCTCAGCCGCTCCCTGGAAGCCATGACTGTCTCCTCCCAAAACGACGGAGGGTAAATAAAGCTTCCCAAAGACCATAACAGCAGCTACACCGGCATGATCTCGTCGGCAGCATCCAAGGTGTACGGGAAAATGGCCGATGCAGGGACGGCGGTGATCTCAAAGGTGAAACCTGATAGTAGAAAGGAGGAAAGTGCAGATGAAGCGGTGGAGAAAAAGGGTGAGGGGCTTTAAATTTAATCAGGATTATATCACGGAGAAGCACTGTTTCTAAACAAATGAAAAATTAGAGGGATTTTAATCACAATCACTGAAAAGTTTCTAGCTTGCGAGTTTTGATTAACCGTTACGTGGTTGTACAGGTGGAGAAAATGATGAGGAATCGCCAGAGCTCAGCCGCTCCCTGGAGGCGATGACCGTTTCGGGGCATTCTTTAGAATGCGCCTGAACATTAGGCGCATTCAAAGAATGTGCCATTTGGTTCGGCGCATTCTTTGAATTCGCCAATCAAGACTGCACATTCACTAGATGCTCGGATGAGTTTGGCGTATTTGCTTGTTTTAAAATTTATTTCTAATCACGCTGCTTCTGCTTAAATTGCGAACAAATACACTCGTTCCGAAAATTTGGCCTTTCTTTACCCCCTATTTTTTGGATTTTTTTTTTGGAAAAAGATAAGGCATTGGTATGTTGTAAAAATGATAAGGTAAGGTTATATTGCAATAACATAATTAATTAATAAATTTTTTTAATAAATTTTAAAAGGTAAATAAATAAATTAAATAATATTAACTTCATAATTTTGTATTATTTATATTTTTTTAAATAAATATGAACCATTCTATCAAATACTTTTAATATATAATTAATTTAGAATAAGTTAGAATATTATCTTAAATTAATTTAAATTTAATTAGAATAATTATAGTTAAAAATTAAAAATCAATTTAATTAATTCAAATAAAATAATCTTAACTATAAAAAAAATTTATTTTAACTCCATTCATTAACATAATCTTATGAGAGAAATATTAATTTCTCAATATATAATAAGATAGGAGTGATATATCTATATCTTTTTAATAAGAACAACTATAATTTTGAATATATATTTTTCTAATTTTTTTATTAAAATCTTATCTCAAGATCTACTATTACACTAAAAAAAATATTATTTGAAGAGTTATTTAATGGCTAGTATTAATTTGTGCCCTCATTAAATAATTTTCTGGCTCCGCCCCTATTTACAAGAATCTTCACAAATAATTGTCACCATTCTAAATTGACCCTCAAGATTATATTCAATAAAAAAATTAGACGCATGATCAAATATAATTTGAAATCTATCATAATAAAATGTAGTCATAAAGATCATCAGCATTAAAATTACTTACATCAAGCAATAGTAAATATTTTTTTTATTAATAAATTTGAGTTTAAGCCAAAGGAAAATTTGAAGTGGGGACCTCTTGCTTGAATTTCTTGCTCTTAATTCTTTATTATTTTAAATTGGTTGCAACTTGCAAGTAATGCTCTCTCGCTTTTTTTATTTTGAGTACATGCTCTGTATTTTCTCAATAGTGAGGGAAAGAATGAAATTAAAAGTTGGAGCAATTATTACGTCCTGCCAAATCCGAACGTTTCCGAATGTATACCAAGTAATACCGAGTGCTCAATACCAAGTTTTAGATGATGTGTCGTGTGTGGTTATTGGTCTGTGAATGCATTCGGTGACCGGACGTAATAATTGCTCAAAAAGTTGCCCTAAACCTTACGGCTTTGCTGTTGGACGTTAGCTAAAGTTCTTTTTTTTTTGGGGAAATTATTAGCTTAAGTTAAATTTTCTTTTTCTTTAATCCAGTTTTAAAAATTTCTTTTTTCTGTATTAATAATAATTATTGAAATTAGATTAAAGTCCATAATACTTCTATAAATAGCAAAATAGCAATAACACATATTTAAAACATGCTTATATTTTTTATTTTTTAAATACATTTTTTTAGTGTTGATATGTCATCAAAAAATTATCTTGATCGGGCATGAATCTCGAGGCAAAAATCAAGTTGGAAATTTCAAGAATTAAATTTTGGACCATTTGAACTCTGATTTCAGCAAACTTATAATAAAACAGTGTCTCAGAAATAATAACCCAATGACACCAAATTCAACTCGATTCGAGCCTAAATGGGTCCAAATCAAAGACCTGACGCACATTCAAAAGGTTCGAATCACAATTTGAGTTACCAAACGATTTCCAAACATGACAAGCTTATAGTTGAATCGAGCGGCTCGACAAGACGAATCCAACGAGCCCAAGATCGCCAAATTTCGGCATCATTAAGACCTTCAAATATATGATAAACAGTCCACAATCGAATGATTCAATATCGATCGTTCATCAGAACCACTCCAAATTCACCCCTGATCTCTCATCTATTTACGGGCCATGCCACTCCAGAAAATCTATAAATAGACCCCTCATTCCTCTTGAGAGGGGATCAGAGCAAGAAGAAGAAGAGAAGAGAAGAAGATTAGGATGGAAGAACTCCTCGACCACCGCCGGAGTTCCGCCTGACTTTTAAGTGACACCGGAATTCCGCCCGACCTCCAAGTGACGTCGGTGTCTCACCCGAACTACAATTGACAGTGGAGTTCTCCTCAGCCGCCAACTAACGTTAGACTTCTTACCAACGTCAACCTCTGCTTGTCGCAAAGTTTCTACCCGACGCCGGACTTCTACCGGTTGTCAAACTTTCGCTGGACATCTATCCGAAGATAGATTTCTTTCCATTGTTGGACTTTTACCTGATGCCGTCCTTCTGACCTTCATCATTAGACAATAGTCATTCCGACCTCCGTCGCCTGCCGACTATGGTCCTTCTGACTTACATCGCCCACCATCTACAGTCCTTTCGACCTCCGTCGCCAGCAGACTACAGTCCTCCTGGCTTACGTCGCCCATCGACTACAGTCCTTCCGACTTCCATCGCCCACCGACAACGGACCTTCCGAAAAACCAATCCTTCCGACCTTCGTCGCCTGCCGACTACGATCCTTCTGACTTACGTCGCTCGCCGACTATGGTCTTTCAGACCAAACAAACACTTCAACTGGGATTCTTTGTATTCTCATCATGTAATGTATTCTATAATATGTACATCAAGCTAAGGCCTTCCCCCAAGGAAGAGCCTCATTTGGAATCAACTGCAATACTAGTGGATTCATTCAAACTAGGCTAGGCCCCGTGGTTTTTCCCCCTATTCAGGGGATTTCCAAGTAAAAATCTTGGTGTCCTCATAATTGTTACACTCTCCCTCTTTATTTAATTGCGTGCCAAATTTTTGTACAATGCTAAGACGTTAAATATGATATTTCTCTACTGCCTCGAATACTCCAGGACGCAGCAGTTTGGCGCCGTCTCTGGGAAAGTGATTCCCAACTAGGTAAATTTTGCTCCAACCTCAGAAGGTCAATTAAGTCAACTTCCTGACATCAGTCATTGCTGCATCAATATCATAAGAATCAGATGCAGACTGGGGGGCAACTTTGACTCCAACTATGGTAAAAAAGATCCTCTGATGTTTTCATCATCAAGATGGTATTTTAGGAAAATCCTTATGAACACAATGATGCTTCCAATCAATTACAAGCTTTATATAGTTTATATTTGGACTTCTACTCCTTGGGCAAGGTCTTAATCTTGACCTCAAAAAGGCAGTAATGGTTTAAAGATAGATCATTTTTCATCTTTGATTCGAGATACACGCGGCGTTCTCCCCCTCCCAATCAAGGTAAAATCCATCCCAGGGGGATTCGATTCAACCTCTTCCACATAGGTTAACATAGTCGAGCAAAGGCTCCAACATACAATCTCGAATATGTCTCACATCCTTGGTGGATTCTCTCAACCTATTCCACACAGGTTAATGTCATCGAGCAAAAGCTCTGACATACAACCTCAGATAGGTCTCACATTCTTGGTGGATTCTCTCAACCTCTTCCACACAGGTTAAC